TGTACTGAATAACAGGACTACCATCTTACTCCAGGCAAAGTTTTGGAAGAAGAGTTAACCTTCTCATCTGCTTTCTTATAGATCATATCCCACACATATTAAATCAAAATTTAATTTAATATCCAATTTCTAGTTTTATTTAAACCACAAATATGGGATCTGATGATCTGCAATTATAAGAATACATGAGAGGAAAAAATCTAGACTCTTGTCTTCATCTGATAAATTCTAGTTGGCAGAGTAGCGGTACAAAAAGTGACCTGGATTTATAAGATGTAAGTTTTACATATATAATTTGATAGATGACAGTAATAACTAATACAGATTAATTCAAATAGCTTACATGGATTTGTAAGTCATTTTTTTATTTTAGAATTTTTAAAATTCCATAAGCACCTAAAATTTAAACCACTGTGGATATCACCTTCAACCCAAAAAGCTTAAGAAGAATTTTTGATGAGAAAGTCTGCAAAAGTGGCAACCAGTTTATCAACTACAAAATGCTGAAGGCAGAATTTTTTGATAGTTCAGCAGAGAGATAATGTAATAAAACATTTCAGCATACAGTCTGCATTAAAGGCTATGCTTCAGTTCCCTCCATTAAAATTGATCGAGCTTCTTTTCTTTTTAATTGGCTACAAGATTCCACTGAACTATTCAGAAACAACTTTCTTTTTCAGAGAAAAAGCTCTAAGATCCAACTGTTACAAGAAAACAAATCACTTACACTGACGAGGCTCACAGCACAAAGCTTTTTGACTGTTTTAGGGTACTGTAGTACCATTCATTCTACCAGAGTTATAACCAAGCAGGCCATAAAAAAGAAAAAAGAACCCCCCCCCCAATCATCTAGAATCTTATTGCTAAAATTCAATCTTAAAAAGGTTATTTAACATGTAAATAATTTTAGGTAACAATACTTTCCTGCTGTAATATGGAAAGTTCATAAGTGTATAATTTATTATTACTATATGAACCATGACAATCTCAGTTTGCTTTCCAAATATATTTGCAGACATGTGTATAATTAGACTATTCTGTAGTTAAATGTCATAAATATATTCTTTGTTTATTTTTACCTTACCCAGTAGAAACACTGCCATATCTAAATTCATGCTTTAGATCAGTGGTTGCCAACCAGTGAGCTGGGGACCACTGGAGTCTACTAGAAAATTTTGGTGGTCTGCAGAGAAATGTCACCCCTCAAGCACCCATCAAGGCAATTAATCCAGGCTGTGCGGGAACACACACAAGAAATGCATCGCTTGCATTGCGAACAATACGAGGGGGGAACAACCTGAGGGGAGGGGGGAAAGAGCGGAGGGGGGAACTTGCTTCACTTACCCCACATGCCTGGTCTGGCTACCGGACTGCTTCTTTCTTTTGCTTTTGGCTGTATGTCATGACAAGTCTCACAATGACTCATTTCTGGCGGAGTTTGGGGGAGAGAAAGACTTCTGCTGCTTTCCTTGCATGAAGCCAAAAGTCTCTCTCTCTCTCTCTCTCTCTCTTTTGCCCTGAGAACGGAGCTGGAGACAGTATTGTGCGATCCCAAATAAAGAATGATTGATCAGTAGGAAAACAGGGTGGGGAATTTTCCTGCAGACTTTTTTGGGGCTTTTCCCAAGAGCTCTGGTCCGCGGGATTTAAAATTATGAGTTTGGTGGTCCCTGAGGTCCAAAAGGTTGGCGACCCCTGCCTTAGATAACCTCTAGTTATCTATGAGAAGTTTCATCACTTTGTTCAGAAGCAAACAAGGACGATGGAATGTGCCACCAAGGATCTTGACAAGGACAGCAAATACTTACATTAAAAAAGAATCCTTGTAAATCTCTGATTTAGTTCTCCATTAACATAATTGCTATTAGATGTACTAAAGAGTTCAAACTTCCCTGAGGTTATGTGTCTCTTCGGGGTCTTAAAACACACAGAATTTATTCGAAATCACTGCCTGAGGCAAAAAGTGTCTTTAAAAAACACTAACATGCAAGTTATATTGCAAAAGTTAAAACAGACAAAAATGTTAAGAAAAATTAGTTTAACATGTACACAGGCAAAGAACTAATAGATTCTGTATAAAAGATTGTTAAATTGTTTAACCAATCTCACATTTTTATTTTGGTCATAGATTAATTAGCAGATCTTTCCAAAATATATGTGAGAATGAACTACATTTTATTTCATTTAGCTGATGTATCTTCAGCATGATTTCCCCTTTTATATTCTTAATCTAACATTTACTTAATTTACATCTCCCCTCTGACAGATACTTATATATACAGCCAATAATGCTATTTTAAAAGGGACTCGGTGGCTCAGTGACTAAGATGCTGAGCTTGTCAATCAGAAAGGTTGGCAGTTTGAATCCCTAGCACTGCGTAGCAGAGTGAGCTCCTGTTACTTGTCCCAGCTTCTGCCAACCTAGCAGTTCAAAAGCATGTAAGAATGCAAGTAGAAAAATAGGGATCACCTTTGGTGGGAAGGTAACAGCGTTCCGCGCACCTTCAGTGTTTAGCCATGCCGACCACATGACCACGGAGACGTCTTCGGACAGCGCTGACTCTTCGGCTTTGTAACGGAAATGAGCATTGCCCATTAGAGCCAGAAACAACTAGCACATATGTGCGAGGGGAACCTTTACCTTTACCTAATACTATTTTAAGTATAAACCCAATATAATGTCGTTTTCTCTTGCATATTGTAATATATTCTTGTATCCAACGTATTTATTCATGTATATTTTCCTCAATAAATCTGCATAGGTGAAACACTAGACAGATAATCCAGACATTTGAAGCATCTGCTTTTTGAGGTTTTCCGCCACAGTCTTAAGGTCTGCGTATCTATATCTCCAATAAGGAATGCATGAGTCTGACTTTCCTCTTTTTATGGGTCCTTCCTAACTCCAAGTTCCACTGATCTAAAGTCACTAGATCCAGGTTCAAATTTAGGATAAGTGATGTCAAAAGTTTCATATTCCACTAGTTATTAACTTCATTCTACTATCCCAGTTTGTTTCATTGACCTGTAACTAAGTATTTTTCCTGATTTTTAAAAAATATTTAATTTGTTAATATTCTGATACAAATTAAACTATGCAGATGGTGCTTCCTCTGTCACATGCCTTCTTAGTGTCAACAGGAATGTCATAAGCCATGTTCAGGCATTTGCTTGAAAGCAGAGTACATAAGCTGGATACTTTGATGAGGCTCCATGCAGTATTTTCTTTTTGCTTTTCCCTATCTCCTTGGACCGATTCAAGAGATCCAAAGGGAAGCTTACTGTATACGGCTTCTATCCAAGGCATACAAAATACTATTTATTTGGCCCCAGGTTGTATGAAACTTTTAAACCTGCCTTCAAACAAGCACTAATATTTTTCCTTTCAAGAGCTAAATGGATTGGGAAAGAAAGATTATGCTGGATGGAAGACGTGGCCAATTCTATCTGGTTCTGACCCTCAGGTGAAGAACTGTGATGTTTGTCAAATTTGAAACACAGCACAATCTCCTAGCTTTCTTGCTAAATAAATGCAGCTAGTAAGGAGTACCTCTACTTAATGTTACGACTAGAATGCAAACAAACAAACCAGAAATAAGGACTGAATTCTATGTCTCCAATTCATAGTAGCAATTTGCTATGCTGCCCTTAGGCGTGTCAATACATAAGACCTGAAGTTACTGAACTAAGTTAGAGAAAACTGGGGTAACTGCGAATGTAGCAAACGATGGCAACTCACGCCCCGTTTAGCCACTTAGCAGTATAACAATCCAACCAAGAACCTACAAATATGCTCGTTAGAAAATCCCATTGTGATTTCAAACAATAGCGTTTACTATATCATATGACTTTACTGCCTGGTAGAAAAGTATTTTTTAATTGTGAATGTCTTACAGCATTTCATACGGGGGAAACCCAGTAAAAGTATCTTCCATTACTATCAATTTCTGTGAAAAATGAATGACCAAGGAAAAAAATATCAGAGAAAGGAGGAAGAAGATAAGTCAGATTGCCATAAATCCAATGCCTTTATATATGAGAGACCTTAATACATATCTAATGTTTTTTATTCAGTAAGAACTGCCTCATAGCTGCCCAAGTTAACTTTCTAATCAGTGGCTATACAACATACACTGCACTCTTCATCACTCCCAAGTGTTAACCTACCTGGTCATCAGAAAAGTGCCCACTCTAAATAAACAGGTACTTTCAAAATTATGACATTGTTGAACAAAGTTGACAAATTACAGACTTGAGAAACATGAAATTTCAAACCAGCATATAAAAAATAAACTCACTCTTGAATATTTTTGAAGATATTGAAATTTATTATTAAATTTATATGCTCCCTTATCTCACCTAAAAAGTACTTTTTGCCACCTAAGTAAATATTTTATATATTAAATACAATACATTCTGTTTTATTGTATTTTACTGTTTAGCATTTTTTCCATTACTTTCTAAAAACTTATTGTTTTGAGTGTATCAGAAAAAAACGTGATATATAAATGGCCTAAAAGAAATACAATTAATACAGTTTCTATGACATAGAGGCATTGCTTTTCATTTGTGTCACCTTTTATTTCCTCAACGGTTAAAATACAAAAAGTATAAGTTATTTTCTATCTTGGAGCCATCTGTTGTAGTGGTTAAGGCATCAGGCTGGCAACTGGGAGACTGAGTTCTAGTCCCACCTTAGGCACAAAGCCAGATGGGTGACTTTGCATCACTGACTTTCTCTTAGGCCTTAGGAAGAAGGCAATGGCACTTTTGAAAAACCTTGCCAAGAAAACTGCAAGGACCTGTCCAGTCTCTGAGAATCAGACATGACTGAATGGGAGAAAAAAAGAGCTGTATATCAATGTAGACTAAAATGTTAAGGAAGCACTACTACACAAATCCAATCTCTAATTATGTTTATGGAGAAGAAGCTGACACAAATTTCCTCTAGGGCTACTGTTAGTTTGGAATTGATCGAACTTGTAATTGACAACCTGATTAGACTTTCTGGTATTTATCAGTTCTTAAACAAAGTATTTCATATCTCTTGCCTAGAAATTGTTAAAGTAACAAATTACTGAACATTTTTGCCTCTTGATGCTTATTTAAATGGAAAAAAGTTATTTGAACCAACTAAAACTGTAATAACTCTGGAATCAGATGATGGAATGAAGAAATCTCACTAACGTGTAAGTTTTGACATCCTGACAAGCTGCCATGTATTTTTGTGGAATTCACTTAAAGAAAATACAACAAAATTGCTCAAACTGTATCATACACTTGCTTTTTAAAAAATCAGGGATATTACTCAAAACAAGAACACTTCCACCAACATATAATAGGACTAACACGAATCCCAAAAAGTTGCCAGAAATTATAAGTTTTAGGATATGTGAAATTAAGACAATGGAGATCAATTCTCCACTTGCATCTGCTAACACGCTTCAATAGTGTAATGGCTTAACACACATCAGTTATCTTAACTGCCAACATGGCTTATTTCACAATTCTACTGGATTAAGTTTATTAGCCTATTATGCTTTGGAAGTTCATCTTCTGTTTTTAAATTAAACAATCAATCACTTCTCCAAAAGCGGGAAAGACAGACTGCATTTTATAGCGTAGAAGTGACAAGACCCTTGATTTTTCCACAGAAGAGATTCACATACTGCACATCACATCTTTTATATGCACTCATAATATATGTGGTTCTATGCATAGTTTCGTACTTATTTTTTTGGTCAGATTTTATGTAGCGTACATTGGAGGTGGTGACCCTTTGAGAGCTGTACGCAACCACATTTCATTTTAATGTGTGTCGATCAAGCCTGCATTCAAAGTGACAATAAAGTTATTCTAAGTCTTGACTATTGGCAGGTTGAGAAGTAGTAATGCCACTGCCCCACAGGGTGGCTTGTTCCGGCAATACCAAATCAATACCTTGCTGGAAACCAAGGTCAGGGAGACAGACCATCATGAGATAAGCTGGTGAAAATAAGATCTGTGCACCAAGTTTACTGGATTCAAGCAAGATTTGCTTGCCGAAACACATTCTCCGAAGTCGCTCAAGCCCACAGTTATTGGGAAGGGGAACGCGATTTTCCTCGGCCGTCCCATAAAGAACCAAAAATAAAAACCCGGGCACTTCCTTCTGCGTTTCTCTTACCTCCTTTAAGAGAGGCACTAAGTAGCAAAAGTAATTTGGGGAAGGTTTAGGTGGGGGGGAGAGGAAGAGCAGCTATATCCACCCCCACGATTAATATTTGTGGATGAATTGATCCTCCAAGTCATAACACCCCCCCGCCGCCCCTCTTTCCACGTCCGGCAGGTCTTGGAAGTCACCCGTGGGACGTAGCCGTCGGGCTGCTCCAAGGCAGCTCCGGTCCCGGCATTCCCGCATTCCTGCACTCTTCGTCTGCCCGGATGCCCTTCTTCTCCCCCGACACCCGACCCCCATCTCCGTGCACCGCCTTCCCACGTGCGCTCGCCCCCCTTCCCCGGAGTCACCCTGCTTTTACTCTCAAGACGTGATAGCCTTCGGTTCCCCCGCCGGGTATCTCCACGCTCTGCGACGAGCCCATGGCTCAGGCCCAGCGGCGGACGACCAGGGCGCCGAGCGGTGGCAGCGGCTTCTTCGGCGCGCAAACGGACGCGCGACGAAACCGCCCCTCCCGCGCCAGCCAGCCAGCCGACGTTGCCCCGCCGCACCAAAGACGTGGCACTCCGTCGGGCCGGGGAGGGGAGAGGACGCTCGTTGCGCACGACGCTGGGATACGCCAGGCCTCCCTGGCGGCAGCTCCTCGACAGCGCCCCCTGCTGGACCCAGGGCGCGTGAGCGAAAGGGCGAGCCGGGCGAAAGCACTGCGGCGCATGCGTGCCGGGAGGACGCTCAGGAAAGTCACCCAGACAAAAAAAATCCTCCCCCTTTTGCTCGCGGTGCCTTCTGGGGTTGATAGAGAAAAGGCGGAAGGAGAATCAGCAGAAACGTGGGGCCTACCTCGTAAGTGCTTCGACGGAAGCCCGCGAGGCACTAAATTGGTGATAACCGTCACTAATGCGGTATCGCTTCGAGGTGCCTGGTGCTGCTCTCTGGCGGTGAAGAAGGGGAAGGACTTGTTGGGTCATTAGCCTCTACCCGCGGCGCACGTTTTTGTGAGCCGCGTTCAAAGCCACACCCCTAAGGCGACCTTTTGCAGGGCTTGCAAACCTAAACAGGGTTGGGGGCCGTTAGGAAATGCCAGGCTGTAGGCTAGATTGAGATTGGGGGTCGGGGGGGGGGGACTTTCAGAAAAGAAAGCAACCTCCGTACAGCGGCTAAGAAAACTACAGGTAGTCGTCGACTTGCGACAGTTAATTTAGTGACTGTTCAAAGTTACACTGTCACTGAAAAAGAGTGACCTGTGACTTATTTTTCACACGTTGCAGTATCCCCATGGTCACATGATCAATATTCATGGCAGTTGACTCATATTTATGACATGTGATCACCATTTGCGATCTTCTGACAAAACAGTCAATGGGAAAGCCACCTTCATTTAACCCAGGGGTGTCCAACCTTGACAACTTTAAGACTTTTGGACTTCAACTGGCTGAGGAATTCTGGGAGTTGAAGTCCACAAGTCTTAAAGTTGCCAAGGTTGGACACCCCTGACTTAACCGTGTTATTAACTTGCAGTGATATACTTACCAATGGTGGCAAGAAAGGTCATAAAACATGGCAAAAACCTCATTTAACAAATGTCTCAACAACATAAATATTGGGATCAGCTGTGATCATAACTCGACTACCTGTATATGGTGTAGAAAGTTATTACCCATCCCAGTGGAAACCACAATGTTTTATAGGGAAAACTGCTTGGACTTTTACACATCAAGCTGCAGGTTTTTTGCAGGTGTGTTCCAATACGTTTTGAGGACTCTGCCAATACGTTGAGCAAACTACCATCTATGGCAGGGGGTGTCTTGAGAAACCTGAACAATTTGGTGTATTGACATGAACCTAAAGATGTGCCTGTCTAGGGAACCATGTCTTGTTTAGAATCCCATCTGGCTTTTAAGATCTGCAAAGACTTCTTGAAGATGCTCCACTGTGGAATTTCCTGCTTAATAAAACAGCAAGCAGGCCAAGTACACTCCAGGGTTTGTCAATGCTCTCCTTCAGTGGTGGGATTCAAATTATTTTACTACCGATTCTGTGGGCATGGCTTGGTGGGAGTGGTGTGGCTTGGTGGGCATGGCAGGTGAAGGATACTGTAAAACAGTGAGGACTAACCTTTTCGTCGTCACGTGCCGAAAGTGTGTGTGTGTGTGTGCATGCACACAGGACTGCACCCATAATGCAACACACGTGTGACCAACCCGTCCCACTGCACATGCGTGATGCTCTGTGCATGCTGCACATCTCTGATCATGTGTGCGTGACCCCCCCACGCGATGCGCTTCTTGAGCCTCTGCATGCCTCTGCTCATGCGCATGCATCTCACGCACGCGCCCCATCTCCTCATGCACGGCAGATACCCAACAATAAGCTGGCTGTCGGGAGGCGCATGTGCATGTGCAGTGCATCTCTTCTGGCCGATGGCTCGCATGCCGGCAGAAATGGCTCTGTGTGCCATAGGTTTGCCATCATGGCTGTAAAATCTCCATTCCCACCCCACTCCGGGGGAAGGCTACTGTAAAATCTCTATTCCGTCCCCACCCCACTAACCTGCTTTCCAGCTCCGTTCTCCTATGCAGGGCAACAAAAGAAGACCCAGGTGATCAGCTGGGACTCAGGAGGCAGAGAAAAGATGGGGGCGGAGCCAGTCAGAGGTGGTATTTGCCGGTTCTCCAAACTACTCAAAATGTCCGCTACCGGTTCTCCAGAACTGGTCAGAACCTGTTGAATACCACCTCTGCTCTCCTTGTCTTCTATTAAGAGATAAGTGAAGGACTGGCAAAGGCTTCCTAATTCCCCACAAGCCTAGAAAGTTCCTCTGTGCCTGTTTTTGAGGGGTCCTTGGTGCTCTCTGAACTTGGCTGAGCAAGCCACTAGAACAGAGGTAGGGAACCATAGCCCCTTTATGACTGGTGGACCTCAACTGGCTCAGAAAATCTGGGAGTTGAAGTCCACCAGTCATAAAAGGGCCATCGCTCTCACCTGTCACTAGAATATACATTGAGAGCAATTTATATTCTAACCAGAGGTGGTATTCAGCAGGTTCTGACCAGTTCTAGAGAACTGGTAGTGGAAATTTTGAGTAGTTCAGAGAATGGCACATATCAACTCTGACTGGAGATTTCACAGTATCCTTCCCCTGCCATGCCCACCAAGCCACGCCCACAGAACCAATAGTAAAACTTTTTGAATCCCACCACTGATTCTAACACATTAGTGGCACTGATGATATTACCTAGTATGGGTAATGAAATGTCTGCAAGAAAATGAGCTCGGAAAGCACCAAAGTGCCCCTTATTTTAACCTTCACCTACAAATACTCTCCTGTATAGGTACCTCTTTTTCTTTGGGAGCCTCCTCTGATCCAGCTCCATATCAAGAGACTTTAGACTCCTCTTAAACCAACAGCTCTTCAGCTGTGTAACACTGCCACCTTGTCCATTTTAGGATCATCAGCCACCCGCATTGCTCTTACTAAAACCAAGAACAAATCAAAACAGTGAACCCTGTTTGGTTCCATCTGTGGTAACCAGCCAGTACATCTCATATTTGTCTCTTCTTATATGAGAGAATTGTTCCTACACAAAGTAGTGTTGTCTTCTCTACTATCAGGCTCTACAAAAGAACTGACTGCTTGTTTGAGGACGTGCCGCGCACAGATGATAGATTCACAGGTTACCATGGACTTAACGTTTGCTAATGGCTTTGCATTCTGATTTAGAGAAAAAAGGTCAGCTATACATGGAATAAATATTTTATTCAACAATTTTACAATTTCCTTTTTAGCCTACCTTGTTGTATGATGCCAAAGAAAATATGTTTTCAGACATATTTTCTATGTAAAAAAGAGAGGACTGCACTATTAGTCTTTGTCATTCTGGCATGTTATCTGCTATTCCTGTTTTGTTTTTATTGCTCCATATTTTTATTTGGATCATCTGCTCTGACAGCCTAAGCTGGAAAATGGCTAATAAAGAATTGAAATCAACACTTGCATAATATCAGAAAAATTATAAAAGCAAACTCTAGAATACAAACAATATTCATAAGAATACATGTTCTAGATTTGCATGATGTACATATTGATAGTTGACTTAACTCTGTTTATTCAATTAACATTTTCTGAGTTTGCAGGACACAACCATGAATTTAGCACACAACTGGAGTTCACATAAGACACTAGTTAAAGACACTGGAGTTCACACAAGACGCTAGTGGTTAGTAGTTCATTTTATTATGTGAACACAATTGTTACATATCTAATAAAAAAAAGATTCCCATCATAACCAACTCATCCTTGCCATACCTACTCAAAAGTCAGAATATTGAATACTCTTGTTTGCTCTCATTGTACCTGAGCTTAAATACACCAATATTTAGATACATCCCTGCTGACCCAACTTCAAAAAGGGGTGGAGCTGGGGACAGAGTTTCTGTGTGCTTTCATGGTTCAGAAAAGAGCATTTCAAAGGATCCTGCAGAAGTGCGGGGGGGGCAGTTTTTCTGAGTCATAAATCACAGCCTTCAAAACTCTTGAGGGCATAAGAGACTCATGACTCTAAATCATGCTTTCCCGTGATCATGGGATGGCATAAATGTATTCACAGCTTATCAAGTAAGAATCTTAAGACTTTTTAAATATAAGACTAGCTAATACAGGAAAGGAGCCTGGAAAGTGAAAGATTAATTAAACCCGCACTCCTCGTTCAACTTAGGTGAGGCCACTATGTATGAGTGGAGGAACAAAAGTAGTAGGGGAAAGGCAAATCTCATAATGCTTTTTGAAAGATGATTGGTATTTCCTCTTTCTAGCCTACAGCTTTAAGAAAAACCTTGGCTTAGAGGAGAATTGCTGATCATGCATAATCAGGCCATGTTGATGCAAGGCAGGGGTGGGATTCTACCGGTTCGGCCTGGTTCAGGCGACCTGGTATCTCCGAGGTTCAGCTGAGAGCGAACCGGTTTGATTTGCTCCGACAATCAGCTGTTGGACCCACCCACCCACCTGGGCTCTAGGCTGTGCTTTATATCCTGTTTTTCAAGCTCAGCTGATTCACGCAGCCCAGCGGATTGCTGCGTGTCAGCTGTTTAACACACGGATTGCTGGAGAAGGTCAGTAGCAAACGTTCTGCACACATGCAAAGCACGCACTCACCGTACCGGCTGCTACATCGGTTGAATCGCACCCCTGATACAACGGAAGGATGAAGCTCTTAGAACCAATGGCATCTGCAGCAAATGACGATGTTGCCAAAATCATGCATATGTACATACCATGTCAGAGCATCTCATCTAAGTATCCAAGCAACAGTCTTGGTATGGTTATGGCATCACACAATTAAACATTGGAAAAGTTCTTACTATGTCATCAAACAAGTGTGATCATTTATTACCCATCCCGTTACCATGCCATCTTGGACCTGATTCTACAAGGGTCAAGGCTAGCAGAAATATGAGATAGCAGATGAGATAGCAGAAATGTGGCACCCTGTGCTCTTATTTTCAGTACCTTTATACAGGCAGATATTGTTCACATTGTAATCTTCTACATAGCTTA